GTGCGGGGCAGCACGTCGCGGCGCCCCGGGGGGCCGGCTGCGGGCGGGGCGGCTCCGTCGGGGTTCTGCAGGGCGGCGATGTCAAAGGCCTCCGTGTCCTCCTCCCCACCACCCTCGTCGTCGTAGGTGATGATGTTCTCGCGGACGTCCTCCTCCTCTAGTACCATCAGTGCTTCCTGCTTCTGCCGTCTCAGGGCCACGAAGAGCACCACCAGGGCTGCGCAGGAGCAGGCGAGGCGCTGAGCCAGCTGGTTCCTGGCCCTGGTAGCCCCGGCCAGGTGAAACAGGGCAGGGTGGCCAGAGGCTGCAGGCCCTAGTCTGACGGTTGGCAAACCTTGCTTTGAACACTGACTTCCCCGTCACTTGCTGTGAGGGAGACCTTCTCCTTATGGTGTTGGAAAAATAAAAATCAAACAACCTATGTGATGTGTCCAGCACCACACTTGCCACAGGATGGGGATTCAATCAGTAATCTTTATGGCTAGTTACTGTCATGGATTTGCAGGTCAGAGGTATGAGGTCACAGTAGGACAATCCAGACATGCAGGGGTCATTCATAACCCATGTCCTGAGATCTAGCTCCTCCCTCCCCCAAACAGGCCCAGATATCACATCTGTGTCCACTGTGGTGTCCACTGTGGCCTGACTCACCAAGCAGGGTGCCCATACAGGTGACAATGGCAAGCAGGGCACCAGTGCTGAGACCAGTGGGTGACAGTTGAGCCTCAGGCCGACAGGATGCCACGGAGCCATCTGGGCGGCAGCGGCACACACTGACGGTCACTGTGGCAGTGCTGCTCAGAGCTGGCTGTCCCCAATCCCAAAGTTCTATAGGAACCAGATAGGGGGCCTGGCGGGGAGGCGCAGGGCGGGAAGGCAGCAGCAGGCTGGCAGAGCCATCTGTGGGAAAGGGAAGACGGTTGGTAGGCATTCCTGGTAGGCCTGGCCCAGCCCATAGAGCCAACATCCCATGGGAAGGAAAAGCAAACAAATTAAGTGTAAATGCACACCGACCTACTGTTGGGTAGAAGGTTCCACCTGTGGGGCAAAGGCAGTCAGGCTAAGCCAGGGGTGTGGGAAGGAGAGGAGGAAGGAAGGCATGGGCATGGTTGCAGGGGGCCACCCACCTCGGTTATCCTGGACTGTGAAGTTGGCATCAGGGCCCAAAGGACCTTGAAGGGAGACCCGGCTACTGTTCCCAACTTCATCTCTGTCCAGGGTTCGGATGACCTGAATCAACTAGGAGGAAGAAGAAAGGCCTTCAGTGGCGTGCTGCTAGAGGCCTTGAGATTCCACCCCACCTGCCTCAGCTGCTCACCTGGCCAGGAGCTGCAGAATCACACACAAAGGTGTCGTAGGGCTCAGCGAGCTGGGGAGCATTGTCATTTTCATCCAGGGTCTGGATGGCCACTTGTACACGGGAGGATTGTGCAGAGCTATCTGAAGCCAGAACACCAACATATACACCCCACACATGCACACACGACATACATGATGCAGAGGCATAGATGCCACACATAGCACAGCATGTACACGGAACAACATGAGACGCCATGTAACATACAAGCAGCAAACCGTGTTTTAAAGGGGATGGAACAATACCAAGTGCATATGATAGTCACACAATACCCAAGATTGTATATTATACAATATACACGCAACAAAAATACAGTACCCATGATGTGCACACATAGTAACTCATATGTGAGACAAATGCATCACGTGTATAAAGGAAGGATAAGTAGAGGGTACATACAGGTTGTGTGCAGATGTAAACCAGTGAAATATGTAAATAGTCACAGCAATATATAATACATGGATGCTGAAAACAAGTTAAACATATGAAACAGAAAATGAATCAAACATACATGAAGCAGATACGCACAGTGAGTGCAGCAGTACCTCCCACCCCTCCCCAGGCCCAGAGAATGCATTTTCATGTACAACACAAGTGGAATAGACACACACACACTCTCACACTCACAGAGAATCATCTCTATAGATATGTTTGCAGCCACAAACACATAGTACTGCCAGGTATCACACAGCTGCATATACAGAAAACAAACTCGAACATATATTGTAACCCATGTGAAAAGCAGTAAGGCGGAGGGGATAAGACTGAAACTGACTAGGTTAGATGCCTCCACCACTTATTTTCTGTGTGAGTTTGGGAAGTTACTTAACTTCTCTTTTTATGAGTTTCCTCACTTGAAAACAGGGAAATAATTATATCTCTCATAAAGCTGTGATGTTAAGTGAGCTAACACATTTTCAGTGCTTGAAATAGTGCCTGATACACAATAAACAACAAATTAATCTTCCACACATACATATATAATCACACATGCACCAATAATACAAATACAATTTTATGCAAACACTCAATTGTGAACATATATATTGTTAATATATGGTCATAAGTATGTGTGTGTTTTATTTATTCTTTGAGATAGGATCTCATATAACCCAGGCTGCCTTTGAACTCCCTTATAGCTAAAGATGACTTTGAACTCCTGATTCTGTTGCCTCAGCTTCCTGAGTGCTGGGATTACAGGTGTGTACCACATACCCAGCAATGTTTTCCACACATACCAATTATACCCACTCCTGAGTACATGCCCACACATACACATCCATCTAGCTCTTCCCTAACATGTATTAACAGCCATATCTACAGCCATAATGCTGGTATATAATTTGAAAACAGCAGGGGCATAAGATGCTACTCACAGAAGGGAGGGAGGTTTCCTTGTCTCCCAGGCCAGGGAGTGGAGGGCAGGAGGACCTGCACATGAGGCTGGCATGCTTCCACTACTTTGGTGGTGGTGGGGGGACAAGTTCCTGTAAGGCTTTTACCGGGGTTTCTTTGGGAGGGCTTGCTGGTATAGGCCTGCTTAGCTCCCAGAGAAGGCACATAGCCCCTTTCTGGCTCTGTGCTCCAGCCGGAGGCAGAGAACAGACAGAGAGAGGAACACAGGGTGGGAGGTGTGGGGTGTCACTGGAACAAGACCTACTGGTTCTGGGTTTGAGCAAGTCAGGTGAGACATAAATGTAGGGTCAAGAACAGGCAGCCTGTGCCCTTCTGTGTCCAACCTGAAAAGGTCTGCTGGGTGGTAAGCTTCTAGGCTGAAGGCCAGGAACTGAACACTGATGAGAGAGTGATGGCTGTTGCTGTCTTTCCCCACCCACACTCAGGACTCTGCCAGGAAGACGCTGCCTCCTTAGGGGCCCAGGACTCCTCACCCATTTCTGTGGCCAGCACGGTAAGGTTGTGCCAGACACGAGCCTCCCGGTCCAGGAGCACTGCTGTTCGGATAGTACCATCTTCGGGCTCGATGGAGAAGCAACGCTCTGGATCCGAGTGGGGGAGGATGGAGTATCTGGGGAAAATGGAGCCGATCTGGGAGCTGCCACCCTCCCTCCCTTTTCCCCTTCTGTTCTCCCTGCTGGGCCTCGGGGCTCATTTGGGAGAGAACCCAAGCTTCTTGAGCAGAGCCTGTCCTAGGCACTCAGAGCCTTGGAGTGTTGGGAGGACCTAAGACTTGGGGGACTGGATTTCTTGGGAGCGGCAGTAGAGATACAGAAAGAGGTAGAAAAGGAGAAACACTACCTGTCTTTCAGACTTGTAGGCTCTGTTCTGGGAACCCAAGGACCTGTGTTTCATCCCTGCTCTGCCTCAGACCAGCTCTGTGACCTTGGGGAAATCATTTGACCTTGTTTAATCAACCGCAAAATGGGAATGACACCAGCACCTCCCTCACAGAGTTATGGCAGGGATGCTGGTCAGGGAAATGGGAAGAGTGGCTGTTCCCAAGGCTGACAGGTCCAGATCTGAAGACCAGCCCTGTCACTCACAATGGGCAAATTACTTAACCACTCACAGTTGGCCTCTAAAAACAACTGGTGATGATGACACCAACTTCATAGGGATGTTGTGAGAATTAAATGTTATCGAGTGGGTAAAATGTGAAGCACTTAGGGAATGACCAATAGAGATCCATTTATCAAATGAGATTACATTTGCTTGGACTGCCACTGGGAGGCGCCACTCCAAACTACCCAAAGAGATAGGAAGAGACCAGGGCTGTGGTTAGCCAAGCCCACCAGCCCTCCTCTACACCTAGGCCTGCAGAGCAGCGAACGGGCTCAGGGAAGGAGACCTTTACTGGGAAGCATGGTTTGCAGCAAGGTAGAGTTCACATCCGAGGAATAATCCGTCTTTGGGCTCCTTAGAGGAAGCCTTGTTCCCCCTTCCCCAGCTCACACTACAGCTCACCTGATCGGGCTGGCTGGGGAGTCCAGGTCACTGGCTGAGATCTGGCCCACCAGGGTCCCAGGAGCTTTGTTCTCGGGTACTATCAGGTGATAGGTGGCCTGAGCGAAGGCAGGTGGCTCTGGGGCATCCTGCACAGTCACTCGTATGGAGGCCACATCCTTGAAGGGACCTCGCCTCAGGTAGGCTGGGTCGATGAGCGTGTTGGTGGCTTCCACACGGAAGGAGTAGGAGCGACGGGTCTCAAAGTCTAGGGGCTATGATGAGGGGAGACAAGAGTGAGTGAGGAATTTAGAAACCAGGGTGGGCCCACCTCACAGCATGCACCCAGTGCTGAGGACAGGTGGCACTGGAGAGGTGTGGCTTCAGTGGTCATGGTGGGTGACACATTTGTAACTGGTAACTCTACAGTCACCCCCAACGCCACTGTAGACTTGTTAAGTGACCCTGAGATGGTTATTTCCCCTTTCCAGTCCTCAGGGTCTTATTTCAAAGGTAAGATCACTGTGATCTCTAAGTTTCTACATAGGGGTCCTGAGTATGGTTCTAAGAGACTAGTTAGAATTATGGCCGGTGGGGCTGGAGAAAAGGCTCAGTGGTTAAGAGCACTGATTGCTCTTGCAGGGGACCAGGGTTCAAGTCCCAGCACCCACATGGCAGCTGACAATCGTCTGTAACTCCAGTTCTAGGGGATCCAACACCTTCTGACCTCTGTGAGCGCTGCACAACATGGTGCACTTACACACATGCAGGCAATACACGCATACTCATGAAACAAAAAAAACAAAACAAAACCAAAAAAGTAGTATGACCAGTGAGTAGGAAGGCGCAAGGTGTTTTTTGTTTGTTTCGTTTTTCCCCTGGTGCTGGGGATCAAACCTAGGCCTTAGTGCTTGCTAGGTGAGCTCTCTACCACTGAGCTATACTCCCAGCTGAGTCTACAGGTGGTAACAGGCAGGAGGCTAACCTTCCGGACAGTAAGGAGCCCATCTTGACCCTGGGAGTCTGTGCTGATGCTGAAGGCTTCCGACCCTTCCCCATCCAGGATGCTGTATGCCATGAGGGCGTTGTCCCCCAGGTCTGGATCCTGGGCCTGTAGGCGGCCCACTAGGGTTCCAGGCCCAGCTGTCTCCACTACAGAGAACTGATATAGACCTTAGGGAAAGAAGAAGGGAAGATGTGTTCTTAGAGATGTCCCTAGTCCTCCTTCCCTACCCCAACACTTCCTTTTCCCAGGGTCTGGCAGGGATGGAACTGGGGAGGGATTGCTTCTTCAGAGGTCTCAGGAACAGGGTAGTCAAAGGATAGTTCAGGCACAATACTGCCCTCTTACTCTGAGGGAACTTGGGAGGATTGTCGTTGACATCGCTGAGGGTGACTGTCACTGTAGTGCTGCCCGACAGCCCCCCCATGTGGCCACCCATGTCTTTGGCTTGGATCACCACCAAGAACTCCTCCTGGGTCTCCCTGTCCATGTTGGGGATGGCTGTACGCACCACTCCTAGGGAGAGACACTGGGTCAGAGGGTGTCTGTCCCTGTGGATGCCCCACAAGGCTTCCAAGTCCATTCTTACCAGTCTGGGGGTCCACAGAGAAGAAAGGTAGTCCATCCAGTACAGTGTATACCAGCTTGGCGCTGTTCCCATAGCTGGGATCATCAGCATCGTGAGCAGTCACTTGAATCACTGAGGTCCCTGTGGGAGATCCCCACACCCCATTCAGCAGGGGCAGGGCCAGAAGAAAAAGAACAGTAGATGAGGGAACCCAGATGTGAGGGAGGCTGAATTACAGAAGGTGAATTCTGGGGCAGATAGCTAGAGGAGAGGTAAAAGAGTTCCAGGAAAGCTGGGCATTCAGAGCTGGGGTGCTCACCGACGTTAGACATCTCGGGCACTGTAGCATGGTAAGGCCCAAGGGGAAACACTGGTGGATTGTCGTTGATGTCCTGCACTTTGATGATGAACTCTGATGGGGGCTCCAGGGGCCGGTTGGAGGCTCGGTCTACAGCTTGGGCCAGCAGCACATACTGTGCCTTTTCCTCCCGGTCCAGGCTCTTGGTCACATGGATATTGCCTGTGGCCTCATCAATCACAAATACAGTGCCTGCCCCCTCCCCAGTTAGCAGGTACTTGGTGCGGCCCTCACCCCGGTCAACATCTGAGTGCAGCTGTAGGAATTGGGGGGAAAAATGGCAGAGTTTCAAGTGCAGAGTAAGAGGGTTAAAGAGTCTAGGTTAGGGTGGAGTGTTAGGAAGCCTAAGGGACCAAGGTCATTGCAGAGTGATGAAGTTATAGGGCAGGGCCTAAGGGCCTGATAGAATAGTCAGAGTAGACCCGGGAGGGGTTGATCCTTACCTTGCCAATAAGGACAGGTTCTGGACCAGCATATTCCTCAATGACAAAGAACTGGTTCCAGACCCAGCTCCTTCGGGTCCGCAGTAGTGCAGGACCTGGGTGTCCCTGGGACCCTGCCCAGGCTGGGACTGGGGCTGCCAGGCGCCCCATGCAGCCCCAGCCACCTAGCCAGGCCAGCAGGAGCCTCACAAGGCCCCACATGTTTGGAATCCAGCCAGGGCTCTTGTTCACTGGGCCCGGGTGCTGAGGCTGGGCAAGGCCAGGTGGCCCATGAGCTGGCTGGGGCAGATGCGATGGGGCTACCCCATGGATCCACACCTGTAGGATAGGTAGCTGCTCAGGATCAAGGAAACTCTAAATCCTACTCTTCCCCAAACTTAGATGCTTAAGCCCAGATCTCTAAGGAACCAGAGAGCCCACTGCCCAGAACCCAGTCTAAGACAGAGTAGACAGTCTGACCCTGCCACCCAGGCTCTGCCTGCATTCACTTCCAGCCCTCCAAGCCCATAAATCTCAGGTCAGTCAACTCCGAGGAGCTGGGGAGGGAAAAAGAGAGAGGATGCTGGAAGGGTTTGGCATTCCAAATCCTGTCACTGTCCTCCCATCTTGGGCACATAGCCAGGATACTAGAGAACGTAGGCAGGGTGACAAAAAGGGCTTGAAATGAAGGGCTTGGGATTCATAGACATGTGGCCTTAAAGGTTGAAAGATGACAAGGAGTGTCACCTAAGACAGCTTGGGACTTAGGAAAGTCTCTCTCCCCCTTCTGGGCCAACCCCACATCTCCAGACCTTGTCCCTAGCCCACTCTGCCAGCGGCAGTACTTAAGGGGGATCAGTTTGGTGAAGCAGAGTGGGGCTGCAGCTGGGAGAATTGGGGAAAAGGTTGCAGGCAGGACACTGAGACAGGGAAGAGGGTAGTGGAGGCTGACCCAGGGGCCAGAGACAGCATGATTGAGGGTTGGATCAAGAATCAGGGATAGTCTGGCAGACAGGGAAGACCAGGTGAGAGCTAGGAGGACCGCAGAGAGAAGGGCAGCACCGAGAAGGAAAGAGACCAGGGAAGCAGGCTGGGTGTCTGGAAGGCAGGAAGGAGTCACCAGGCTTGGGAACTGGCGGTGGTACAGAGGCGCGCTCCACGTCCGTCCGTCCGTCCGTCCGTCCGTCCGTATGTGTGTGTGTGTGTGTGTGTGTGTGTGTGAGAGAGTGTATGTGTGTCGTGTGTGTATGTGTGTGGTGTGTGTGGTGTGTATGTATGTGTATATGTGTGTATGGTATGTGTATGTGTGTGGTGTATGTGTGTGTGTGGTGTGTGTGTGGTGTATACGTCCGTCCGTCTGTCCGTCCGTCCGTCCGTATGTGTGTGTGTGTGTGTGTGTGTGTGTGTGAGAGAGAGAGAGAGAGAGAGAGAGAGAGAGAGAGAGAGAGAGATCAGGCCTTGGGAACTTCATTCTGGTAGAGGAAGCCACCAGGAGCAGTGGCGGTAGGGAGGAGCTGCGGGAAAGGAGCTAAGAAGGGGGACCCTTCCCACTGCTTGCTCTCTTCCCGGGGCGACCGGCAGGTAGCTGTCTGCCCTTCCTCCTTCCCCTGGGCAGACTCACACCTGACACTCCGTTGCTCCCAAGAGAAGCCAAGCCAGAGGGCAGCTGGGGACCAGGGAGGGCGGCGGGACGAAGAGAAGGAAATAGAGGAGTGGGAAACAGGACAGCAGGAAGGGAAGAGGAGAGGAAGGGAGGGGAGGGTAACCGGGAGCAAAGGCGAGCGGGAAACGGAAAAGAGGAGACAGGTAGAGGAAGAAAAAGGCAAAGAGGCAGAAGAGATGGAAAAGACAGAACAAGAGAGACAGGGGTTGAGGAGAGAGAAGGCAGTGAAGAGAACCGAGAGGGGAAAGGGAGAGGTGTGAGGGAGGAAAGCAAGCGGCAGAGCGCGGGAGAAAGGAGCCGGCAGCGGCTGGCAGCTCGGAGCGCACCACTGAACCCCCGCCAGCTGCGGCCCCGCGGCCCCAATTGGTCCCCGACCCGGCTCCCGGCCAGGCGTCCTTACCTAGCAGCGCCGAGGGGCCCAGGACGCCGGGCAGCGCCCCTCCCGCCTCGGCAGCTGGCTCCCGGGGCACAGCCCGAACGGATCCGAGCCGGCGCCGCGGCTCCGCTGCAGGTCTGAGCGAGAACAAGGGAGCGAGACGGAGGGGGCGGGGGAAGGAGGCTCCGCCTGCGGAGGAGCGCCGCGGCTCTGCGCGGGAGAGGAGAGCCCAGCCTCCGACCCTCCCCGGCCAGCCGGGCCGCGGCGGGGGCGGGGAGGCGCCTCGCTCCCGCCCCCTCGGCGCTCTGGGGCTGCCGGGCGCATACAGATGCGGGGCCCCTCCCGGCCTGGCCCGCGGCGCGGCAGGACACCCGGGCGGGAGGACAGCCAGGCCCTCCCTGGAGCACGGAGGGCGCAGCCCCGCGCGAAGCCGGCATCACCTGCCTAGGGCGCAGCCGGGGGTGCGGCGTCAGGCCACTGCGGGCACCTGCCCCGAGCGCCCCGCCTGGCTCCAGGAACTGGCGTGGCTGCTGGACTGTAGCACCCCGGGAGCTTGGGCAGAGCACGGGCTGCAGCACCCCGAGAGCTTGAGCCGACCAGCACAACGGGTCCTCCGGGCTGAGCTTGGCGGAGGGGCTCTGGTACAGGCTGGGGCAGCACGACCTCGGCGGGGAGCGCAGCCTTCACAGGGAAAGCTCATGTGCCAGGACCTACAGAGCGCAGGCTCGCGCCCCCTGGCGGCAGCTGTGGGCGGCATCTTGAAGGTGGTGAGGTGACCACATGCCTCAATGTGCAGGGGACTGGGAAACCATCGACTTTGCTGCAAAAAACGTCCCATTTCCTAGGGCGATGAAGACCCATGTGGCTTTGGGAAGGCAGGGAGGGAGAGTCCTAGGAGTGCAGATGCTTGCTATCCTCTTCAGCGTGCCCTGTCACCCAAACCCTTCCCAAGGAAAGGCACTCAAGTACTAGTTAAAACTAAGTCAGATTTTAATTTTTTTTCCATAGACCACATCATTTAAAAATAAAAATAAAAAAAATAAAAATTGAACAAAAGGAAAAGGTGGGTATAAAGCAGAACCAGAGGGCAACAGGCAAAGGTGGCAGGACAGGAGAGGGAACTGCAGGGGCCCTGGGACTCAGGAGGAGACGCTGATTCAGCTCATAGGTAACCCAGTCCTGGCCCCGGCTGTTCCCAAGAGGCTGTGAGTACCCAAGGGAGGTGGAAAGCAGGATGGAGGACAAAATGAAGAGGTCTGGGGCACTTGGCTGTTCCCCACTTCTGGCCAAACCCTTTCTTCCATAACACAGTTCTCAAACTTACTGGGAAAAAAGAGGGTTAAGTCCCATTAGTTAGGTTGGGGGGTGAGGAGGGAGAATGCCACTGCTCCATTTGTTATGTGGGGACAGGTGGCAGTCATAGTTCAGCACTGAGCAATGGTGTGAGAGACCCTTGGTTCCAGGGTGGTGGTGATTATCCCTCTGTGGCCTTTAACCCCCCAGGGCAGAGTGGCAGGTACCCACAGCTCTCCTAGTGTTTTCCTGGCTAGCGGCGCCCACCCCGGTCCCGCACAGGTGTGCTCCTACTCCGGCTTCTGCTGTGGCGCTTGGTGTCTCTGCGATCCCTCTCCCGGCCTCGGTCCCGGTCCCTTTCCCTCTCCCGATCTCGGTCCCCTCTGTCCCGCTCCCTGTCCCTCTCTCTCTCCCTGTCCCTGTCCCTCTCCCTGCTGTGCTCCCGACGTTTCTCCCGCTCCAGCTGTCGGTTCCGTTCCCGCTCAGCTTCCTTCTCCCGCTCCTTCTGTTCTTCTTCCTCTTGTTCCTTTCGCCGCTTCTCCCGCTCCTTGGCCCTTTCAGCCCGCTCTGCCTCCTTCTGAACAATCTGTAGTCGGGTAAGAAGGGCAGAGACAGATGCGCATCACAGTCCTGCCTGCGCAGGTCCCACTTTGTCCATCCTGTCTCTCCTAGTTCGGGGTCACGGTCAGTTTTGCTGTTAAGCAGAAGAGGTGGGCATAGGGGAGAGAGTGGGCTCCACAACTGCACCTTTCTCAGCTCTTTGCAAACTTTACTTTTATACAGGACGAGGAGGAGCTGGCATCATGCCTGTTATTTCCTTAGCTTCCATCACTATGGGTACAAACAAATCTCCCAAGTAGCATTAAGCCTAAAATACCCTCAAGTTAAAAAAAAATTCAGGTTAAGGGGCCCAGCAAGATGACTCAGTGAGAAAAGCTCCTGCTGCAAAAGCCTGACAATCCGAGTCCATCCCCAGAACCCATGTAAAGGTTGAAGGAGAACCAACCCCAGAGCTGTCTTCTGCTTTCCCCTGCATGGTGGCATGCACTTCCCCCATACACACAAACTCTCATAAAACAGCATGAATTCTAGACATTAGGCGGTATGGAAGAGTTGATAAAACACGTATTTCTCTGCTAACAAATCAAGTTCCAAGAAGCCTAGCTTATAGTGGCTTCCCAAGAAACCCACAAACCTTAGGTTCTTGCATTCATGGTCAACTTTAGTATACTTTTAAAGGTTTATTTTTTATGTGCTTTGCCTGCATGTGAGTGCACCATGAGCACCTCTGTCCACAGAGGTCAGAAGAGGGTGTCAGATCCCTTGGAATGGTTGTTACAGATGGTTGTCAGCTGCCATGTGGGTGCTGGGAATTGAACCCCAGTCCTCTGCAAGAGCAGCCAGTGCTCTCAAACAGCTGAGCCACCTCTCCAGCCCCCGGTTTAGCTCCTTAACAGCATAATCATCAGCTGTTTCTTAACAGATTCTTTCTACGATGCTCGGTTTCTTCTCTACTACCCTAAGCCAATGCCTGGGTCTACCTAGTCTTGTAGTCTTATATATCCCTGAGTGCAACGACTGCTTCAATCAAGCCTTGTCCACTCTGAGGACAGTACTCAAAAGGACAGCACTCACCTGGATGTCTGTCAGTGGAAGCCAATAGATACAGGGAGCTGCCTTAGTCTTACGGAAAAGGTCGTCCAGCAACTTGGCAGGTGGCTCCTCCTGAGCTTTTTCTGGGGTAGGAAGGAGGATATGAAATTTGATGCATATAACCTACTTGACCCATCCCATTTGGGTGCCTGTCCCTCCATCTAGGAGACATGAGGTACCCTCAAAACTCAGTACCTTTCTTCTCACTCTTCTTTTCTTTAGATTTTGCTCGTTCTTTGCGACGGCGGTCACGGGACCGTGATCGGGAGCGGGGGCCTTCTCGAACTTTGTCCCGGTCCCATTCACGTTCTGATCGGGTTCGCTCTCGCCGCTCCATTTCCCGTTCTCGCTCTGCCCACTGCTCTCGCACAGCTCGCTCCTGCTCCCGTTGCTCTGCTCGGGGGTGGGATGGTGGCTGAACTGGGGGTGGGGGTGGGGGATGCAGGGGCCTTGGTACCCCCTGTTCCTCTGTCTTTGTTTCAGAAGGACGGTCCACCAAGAGGCCCCGATGATAGTCCAGCTGTGGGCAGAGGGACAAGGACAGTCAGGATGGAGGACTATCATTCTCATCAAAGCAGCCCAGGTATAAAGAGAGAAGAACAGGTTTGGTTAGGGTCTCAGCTGCAATCTACCAGAAAATGGCTTCCTCTGCCCATCTCCTCCTTCTTTTCCTTAGGCTTCTCACCTCATCTCGCTCAGCATAGTCAGCACAAAGGAATTTGGGATTGGATTGGGGCCACTTGACCCCATGCAGAGCTGTTCTGGTGGCTACGGCTTCCTCTACTGTTGAATACTGGTGAGAAGAAGGCAGAGGACATCTTCAGTCCGTCTCATTCACAAAGAAAATGGGTCACAAACTACAGAATCAGTTTCTTCCCCTCACCGTTACAAAGCAATGAGACTTGATCTTGTCAATCCAGAAGGCCTCTTCCACCAAGGTTCCGGTGCGCCCCAACAACTCCTTCAGTTGGCCTAACGTGAAGGGACGAACCTGCCAATGAAAATCAACTTCCAAGGTCTTGAACTATACATTCAGATTTCCCAAACTACTGTCACAGGTGCAAAGCTTCCAGGTTGGGTGAGGGCGGAGGTCCACAGCCCTCCAGGAGGAACTTGAGTGACAGTACTGAGACATGTGCCGAGCCCTCTGCCAGTCATCAAGAAGGTGGCCCTACACTAAGTTGTTTTTTGAGGAAAACAGGCTAAACTAACTCATTCAAGGCCAACTCCATCAACTCATTCAAACTGGCAGGTCTAAGAGTTGAACCTCAGGAGCTTGAATCCAAAGTGTAAACTCTTTAAGATTTATTTTTATTATTGTTATTTAAGTATGTTCATGTGCCCCTGGAGGCCAGTGGCATCCACTGAATGTGGGTCACTGAGAACCCAACCCAGAACTTGAGTCCTGTCCAAGAGCAGTATGCTGATGGCTCAAGCCATCTCTTGAGGCCCCCAAAGTGTAAATTCTTTTTTTTTTGGGGGGAGGGCTGTGTTTTTTTAGACAGGATCTCCCTGAGCCCCTTGAACTCTGAGATCTGCCTGCCTCTGCTGGGAGTAAAGGTATGTGCCACCAAGCCCGGCTTCCAAAGTGTAAACTTTTTTTTTTTTTTTTGAGACAGGGTCTCCCTGTAGCCCCAGCTGGCCTCAAACTCAGAGATCCACCTGCCTCTGCCTCTACCTCCCAAGTGCTGGGATCAAAGGTGTGCGCAGCTGCCATCACGCGTGGCCAAAGTATAAATTCGTAAACTAACAATGACTTACCAAATTGGAGATATGGACAATGTTACTGATCTTGCCCCGAGGTGGGGAGGGCACCTGGGCAGTTCGGACTGGGTCGTCAATTGTAATGGAAACTCCAGACTTCTGCTGGCTAATGGACCTCCGAGTTAAAGTGTCTCCTAAAGTTACTAGGAAAGACAGCACAGAATAGCTTTCAATAGGGAGCAGGGTCCCCCTCCCGCAGTTCCCTTCTTTTATTCTCTAGTAAGTAGCATCTTCTATCTAAATGTGCCGAGTACTCACAACATGCAAGGTGCAATGCTAGCCTAATCTCCTTACTGTGGAGACTCAAACATTACAGATACAAACACAACTCAAAACAGCCAAGTATCTAAGAAGAGAACAAGGAAAACTACTGAAATACAAGGCAGTAAACACCAAATGCCCAAAGGAATCTAAATGCAGCGCTCAGAGAATTCAGGAAGCTGTTTTTTGACTCACCTTTCTTTACTTCGTGTTCCACAGGTGGGGGCAAGGCCACCTCTACTGACACCTGGGGAAGCGCGGGGGGCTCTGCTTCAGGCTCCTTCTCTTCTTCCTCTTCTTCCCTCTGCCCATTTTCCTGGCCCTCTGCAGGCACTACCTATGAAGGCATCAGATAACAGAGATGGTCTGTCACTACACTGGCACGTCCTCTTCAGTCTCTGGCTTCCTAAAGAAGACAGTAGGGTCAACCTAGCACACTCCTTCCACTGCAGAAGGTTGTTCTCTCAGGCTCTCAACTTGTTTTAAAGAAAACGGGCTGGAATTAGAAAATTAAAAAAAAAAATTAAGTTTTTGTGTGTATGCGTATGTACGCTGTGTCACACATGCCAGAGGGCAACTTTGGACTCGGGTCTCTTTTCACCATGTAGGTCCTAGGAATCAAACTCATGTTGTCAGTAGACACCTTTACACAACTGAGCCATCTCACCCACCTGGAAGCTGTTGGCTTTGTCAGCTCTGGCTCCTGTTGCAACTTCTCAATCCTGGCACTGTAGCACAAGCTACTACAGACTAGAGTAAGTGAACCGGCATGGCTGTGTTGTAATACGTTTTTTTTGGTAACTGGCTGCTGGTTAGATTTGGTACAGTACAAAACTTCTGAATGTACCAATTAACAACTGTCTGCACAGGCCAGGGCGTCCCATTCTAGAACTTTTTACCTTAGCTTCTTGGCTGCCTGCTATGTGCCCACTGCCCCACCTGATGCTGGGGTGCAGCAGTTTTACCTGAGTGACTGTCCGGCATATTTTCAGTCCTTTGTCATGGGTCCCATCGTCGCCATTACGTTCTGTCTCATCCTCAGAGATTCGGGAGTCATCAGCATGAAGATCCACAACAGCCTCCTGCCCCGCCAGGGGTTTGATGTCGGGGATGAGGCTCTGGGACACAGACACCCCCGCTACCCTGTTACACTGGGCCCATGTCTACTCCCACCTTAACATGTCTTATCCTCCCTTCCCTGGTTCCTCCCACCTCACCTTGAGTGATTCAGTGGTGATGCTGATGGAAGGCTTCTTCTGGGTGGTGGCTGTGCTGGCTCCCCAACGTCGCTTTCGACCAGGCTGGCCCCCCTCTGTGTCACTGTTTCCAGCTTGTACCCCCTTGGTAGCTGCTGTCCCCAAGAAATAGGACCCAACAGTTAGATGGTCTCAGGCCCCTTGCTAGCTTATAATACCTATAAGTTGCCTTCAGCTGGAGTTTTAGCAAAAGGTTAACTTAAGGAAATATTTGGGGGCTGGGGAAACTATGGTTTTATTTATTTATTTTTTGTCTTTTTGAGACAGGATCTCCCTGTAGCTCCAGCTGGCCTGGAACTCACTATATAGACCAGGCTGGCCTGGTACTCACTATGTAGACCAGGCTGGCCTGGAACTCACAAAGATCTGCTGGCCTCTGCCTCCCAAGTGCTGGGATCAAAGGCATGCGCCACCATGCCCGGCGAAATCAAGGTTTTAGAACAAAAGGGATGGCGTCTCTTCCTGACAGATGGGAGCTATCAGTCTATGAAAAGGAGAAGAGAGGAGTAACTAGTTAGACGAGCACTTTATACTTTAATTAGCTTAGGGACTTCCTTAATCCCAGCACTCAGTGGGTAGAGGCAGGCAGATTTCTGAGTTCTAGGCCTGCTTGGTCTATGTGTTGAGTTTCAGGCCAGCTTGGGCTACGTAGTGAGATCCTGTCTCAAAACCAAAAATGAACCAGAGTTCCTCAAAGGGGAAAAGTTAATTTAAAGTTACTGTTTGGCCAGGGGTGGTGGTGCACTCCTTTAATCCCAGCACTTGGGAGGCAGAGGCAGGTGGATCTTTGTGAGGCCAGCCTGGTCTACATAGCCGGTTCCAGACCAGCTGGGGCCCCAGGAAGACCGTCTCAAAAAGACAAAAAAAAAGTGTTATTTTTGAGGTGTGCAGCACATTCATTTCCTCAGATATGCTCTTAGAATAAAGTACAAAATGATAAGTATTACATGGGAGTCTCTAACTACACATTCAAGGAGGTCAGATACCTGAAAGGAGAAAATTCCTCAAAGAGTTGGATGTGGTAGCACATGCCTATAATCCCAGTTATTTCCCAGCTGAGGCAGGAGGCTTCACTTTGAAGCCAGTCTGATCTACAGAGACACTGCCTCAAAAATACATTAGATGGGAATGGCTTGAGATACTGTTCTCCTTAAAAATGTGGTTGGAGCTGGGGAAACATCTTTGGTATGGTGCTTGCCTAGCATGCATAAAGCCCTGGGTCCAGTCCTCAGCAACACATACACTTGAACACCAATTTTCATGACCTTTATCAGGGATTTGGGGCTAGACTTACAGACAACGGAGATTTTCCTCTTGAATGATTTGGGCATCGCGTTCTGTATAGAGAAGATAAGGGGGAAAAACAGAGAGAGAGACACCCCACAGAGAGGGGGGAAGGAGGTTAAATGTGGCAATCTTAACATAAATGCCAAAGACACACAGAGACAGAGAAAGAGAAAGACAGACAGAGACCAAAACAGAAGCGGCAAACGGCAAAAACGAAGCAGATCAATGCAAGTTAGAGAAAAATAAAAGCAAACGTTGTAGGGAAGTCATCTACTCCATTTTATATCAGTGTATTAGCTTTACCAGAAATAAGCTGGAAGAGGAATTCAACAACCTCCGAGCTAATTAAAAAAAAAAAAAAGAATGCTTCACGAATTTGTGTGTCATCCCTGCGCAGGGCCATGCTAATCTCTGCATCGTTCCGATTTTAGTATATGTGCTGCCAAAGTGAGCTCAAGTTTTGAGTTCTGTGAGCCAGGGTCTCACTACATAGCCCAAGCTGGCTTCAAACTTGTATTGATCCTCCTGTCTCAGCCTCCCAAGTGGGATTACAGGCATGAGCCACCATGCCCAGCTCCCTCTCAACACTTGGAAGATGCTGACCGTGCACTTTTCCACTGTCTCTAGGTGATGAAAACACCAAACCAAGTAAGCTGTGGCCAGACCTGGGCTAGCAGGCCCTCCCAGGTCCTTCTTTGCCAATCTGAGGAAGACACAAGGAAAATCCAACTCTGGGATGGCAACACCCACAAGGTAGTCTTCCTATTCTCAACGCTCAGCCTGACATCCTGACAGGATCTGAGATGCTTGAGGATCACCCAGACCCCAACCACACTGTGAAAAGAACTGTACCAGGTTCACTGGAGAATGAGAGTCCTGGGCCAAGAGCAAGCAGAAAGAACTGAAAGGGGTCTCTGGTGAAAGGAAGTTTATATAAAGGGCAGGCCGGGCTGCCCCCAGGGAAAGCCTCAGAATTTCCAACCATCACCTCCAGAAGACAGCTTTGGGTCAGTTTTTCCCAAACACTCAGTGGGAACAGCACTATGGGCAGAGCAAAAAGAGGGAGACAGAAAAAGGGAATGGAGTGTTTTCAGATTTAGGTGCTTATTTCTGGAAAAACTAAGACTATCCTACTACCCTTCATCAAGGGCAGAGTCCCCTTAATGTTTCCCTTTTCCCATCCACCCCCAGCCCCGTTTATGTCGTCTAACCAAGTCTCCTTGGTCTCTGTTAAGGGCCAGCCTGACCCCTAGCCAGGCCGCTCTTGATGGGTAAGTTAGTGAGAAAAAGAAAAAAAAAAAAAAAAAAAAAAAAAAAAAGTCTTAATTAAAACAAGAAAAACACGAACCAAATAAATAAACCCAACGAAGAAATCAGAAAAATAAAGAAAAAATTAAAATAAAAAATTAAAAAAGAGGTAGAAAATAAAGAAGAAAATAAACTAGGAATATGACAAATGTTCCAGGTACCATCTCACACCTGGGATCTTCAGTTCAGCCAATCGCACCTCACTGTGTACTGTATCTAGTCAACCGCCGGTCCAATCAGAATGAGCCCTCCCTGCTAGGCGCTGTGCAATTGGTGGGGGGTTGGGTTGGCAAAAAAGGTGGGCGCACGGCGTGGTAGTCAGCACGGCACTGCCAGAGTCCTCCCAGGGGCGCAGGGGGGGCGGGAGGGAAACGTGTGGGGGAACGCTGCCCAGTTTCCAAGATGTCAAGACAGTTCACTGGCGGTGGCCAGGCTCAGCGAGGGGCAGAGGGGGGAGAGGGGACAGTCCTGGCCCTGGAGGGGCATCATCTTGCAGTCCCTGATGAGCTGGCCTGTGAGTAGCAGTAATGGTCCTTGCCTTTTATCATGAGAGGCAGGCAGGACCCTATGTCCACCAGTGGCAAGCTGCAGCAATAACACCACCCAATACTTGGAATCCAGGTGGTGACTCCAGAGTCCCTTTCTCCTCTGAATGTAACTGGGGAGGGGGTCCTTTCACCGAGTGGGATCATGGAGCCTCTGATGAAGGTAGCCTGGGGCTAGCAGTAGGTCAGTTTCCCCAGGACCTGGCACACATTCAGCAGCAAGATCAGAATGTTTCTTCTGAGCTGTGGCTGGTATCTCCTCAGGGACTCCAGCTGAGACAGTGGTTCCAGTCAGGTGGATGAGTGAGTCCCTGCCTCCAGGGATGGAGGAGAAGTTGGAGCAACAAACGTGCTGCCCTTCACCATGGACAACAGGGACCAAAGATAAGTCCATTTGATGAGCAAGTGGTGATACATGGGCTGAGCTGTCATCAGTATTAAATCCCTGGGGCAGACCCTAGACTTCTCTGCAGGGTCCCTAGTCGTCATAGCTTAAGCCGTGGGTCCCACTCAGTGTTTTACAGCAGGGCACTGTGATCACAAACATTGACTTTTACGTTTCTTGGTCCCTAGATGGGGATCTCAACAGTCTGTAGCAAACAAGGCAACCCACAATCCTTGATAGGAAAAGGGCTGGTAGGCAGGTACCCCAGCACCGGCACACTCTTCTTGGGGTGTCCCAAGTAGGGAGATGATGCAAGTCCACCCCATTCCAAATGCCTTTTGTTTTCTCAATACAAGTCTCTCCAGTACAGTGCTCTTCTTAGCCCCCTGATGTAAGCAAGACAGGGAGGCAAAAGGGGGCCCATCGCAGGAGCCCATACATATGCCCCCTCTGGCCAAGACACCTGGATAGCAGACTTGGCTCTGATTGGGCAGCTCAGTAGCAGCGGGTGGGTCCAGAGGTAGAGGCGGCATCAGCGATTGGCCAGGGTTATATTTTACGGGCGGATTACCGTACATGAGGTACTTGGACAAAGTTTTACGGGGAAGAAGGACCTTGTAATAAATAATATTCTGCACATCAAATCACTTTCACCGGCCCCCACCCCCGCAACACACACCAGAGAAAGGCTACACACACAACAGTCCCTCCCACCCTGTAATCCCACTCCTAAACCCAGCTAATTCTATTTCTTTAGGCGCCAAGAAGACTTCGCTGGCTCTGATGGGAGGAGCCTCCAGATTCGGGCATGGGGAAAAGATACTATACGTGCCAAAAAAAGGAGTAAGGGCCACAGATATGGAGAAGGGGTATTCTGGATCACCCCCAAGTGCTGGTTTCTAAGAAGCTACATCTCTATAAATACGACCACTGGGGGGCAGATGATTAACAAAAATTCCTCAGCATGGCCAATCTGGTAAGAACCACCAACGCCCACTAGGTGGCGTGGACTCCACCAAGCTTTTAAAAAGGAGGGAAAGCTCAAGGCGTTATCACAGAAGCTTTAGCAGCTAGCAGGAAAAGCCCAACAGTTTTAGGAAAAGGGCCATTAACAGGCTTCCCAGTTACTTATCAACTTCTAGGAGTCTGGACTGCACTACTTCCCATGTAGGGAAAGGAAAAATCAAAGAGCCTTGTCCCCCATCACAAGGGATCTCCCTGGTTAAAGCAGCGATTTCTCCCTTGGCCCTATCCTAATCCAAGGCCCTGCCTTATCCCCCTCTTTATGTTATCCCACTGTGTAAGAGGGATCCCCCTAGGTCCACCTTCTGCCCACCCACCCCAACAGGTGGCTTGGCTATTTACCTCTTTCTTCTCCTCATCTTCAGTACTGCCCTCTGGGCGGTCATCATTGCTGACTTGGTCTGCAACAGGTACCGGAGGCTCTGGAACCTCATTTTCAGGTCTGTTTTCACTTGTGTCCATGGTCACTTCCTCCTCCTCACTGACAAGATGGGAGAGGTTGGAGGGAAGGGCAGGAAAGAACCAGGGGGAAGAGAGAGCAAGATGTTAGCTTTGGGGCCATAAAATCCCTTTGCCTCATCACTTGGTGGGAACCGTTTTCCTTGGGGAGGAGGGGAAAGCACAGATTACAGCAATCAAGTCCACCCACTGCCCAGATGGGAGAACACTGTTCTACGTGGGACTAGGACACCAACAGATCTTAGGTAATAAGTCCAGGGTACTCGTGCATGAAACATCCTCCCTTGAAAAGTCCTTCAAAAGTAATCCTGATTTGCACACAATCCTGCAGTCTCCCTAACCATTGGCCACAGGCATCTTTACCCTGCATGAGAATCTAAGGGAAGCCTGACTTAAAACAGCAGAAAACAAGGAAAAACGGTATGGCTGTGGCAAATGATCCTGACCTTGTGTTTAATCAACTGCTTAATAAGTAAGAGCCTGATGATCCACATGATCTGGAGACACCAGGAACAGAGAAAAACGTGGGGGGTGAGGGTTGCAGGAAGAAAAGTAGGGCTGGTGATAGAGTTCAAGCTTCTCTTACCCTAGGAAAACCTAAAACTGCTGAAGAGAGTATGAAAGCTTTAAAGAACCAGGCCACCTTTACCTGCTCAGATAAGAATTGTCCTTACATCCGACTCTCACCCAGTTTCTCCCACTCCCTCTTTCCAACTTCCAAGAGATAAAGAGCAGGCTCCCAAGTCAGTACACACCCTCCCCCACACCATGCAACTCCCTCCAAACACACAGAACCCACTCTTACAAAGTTAGCATCCACTTCGGACAAAGAAACTGAGAAACTTAATTCTGATAAACTATCTTCCTACCCTTTTCTGTCATCATTCCTAAACTGTAATCCCCCACGCCCTGACACCCAAATACTAGTTTAAAAAAAATCCAATCAAGATGATCAGGGCCCCAAGTGACAGAAATGGGGAAACCAAGCCTCCCCAGACCAACAACCACTACCAGAAAACTGAGCCTTTCCCACAGGCTGTCCAGCACTCAGAGGTCAGAGAAGCCTCCCTAGGGTAAGCAGGGAAGGATGCACGAATTGAGGGGGAGGCAGAATCAGGATTGGGCCCCCAGCTAACAGGCCCCCACAGAAACACGTGATTTGATTGCTTAAATCTAGAAAAAAGGCTTATCAAAAAACAAAACAAAATAAACAACCTATTTCTCAGAGAGGGCAATTGGGGCCAATTAGAAACCGAGCAGGAAGGACAAAGGGAGAAAGCAGAATGCCTGAAAACAAACCAAAATGAAAGAGTGAAAGCCATGAGGAAGGCACGGAAGACAGGCGAGCTGGAGGGACAGGCACGGTGGAAATGTGAGGCTCTCACCCTTCTTTGCTGTCTGATAACATGATTTTTTTCTCCCCCTGGAAGTGCTGTTTATCCCTTTCTGGAATGGAAGAAATAACAAAAGCCAAACAAAAAAAAAAGACCTAAAAAAATTAAAAAAAACAAAAACAAAAACAAGCAAACCAAATAAACCACCTTCCTTGTCCGGAGATCCCACCACCTCCTCCCAGCCACCCCATCCAGAAAGAGAAAACGGAGATGCAGCAACTGGGGATCCAAAAAAATGGTAAATGGAAGGGGAGGTGGTGGTGGAGCGGGGAGGCTAAAATAGATCTGGCTCTTAAGAGATAAGCGGTTAAGTCCTCACGGCAAACCCCGAGTTCGGCTGGATGGGTCTCTCTGGAGGAAGAGGAGGAAGAGGGCCAGGCTGTTGGTAGTAGCTGGCTCTATTGTATTGGCGAAGCGGCAGCGATCAGCCGGAGACATGCAGGGGAGCCATCTTGCCACTTACCCAGCAGCCCGTGTGTGCGGATGGGGGAGGGCCCTGATGCAGCAGGGGAGGGGAAAGAGAAGAGGGAGGGAGCTGAGTGAGCAAGGTTCTTATCCTCTGGCAGGCCACCGGGAGTCAAGCTGGCTCCAGAGGCTAGGCCTTTTCCCTTCTTTTCTCAGGTTACAACAGCTACAGAGGTCTAGAGCCACAGGGCCTGGGTGCTTTCTCCTAGTCGTCCCAGGGGGCAAGGGAGTGGCCAGGTGGGGAGGACCTACAAAGTTAGAGCTGCCTGATTGGAAGATCCAAATCAAGGGAAGGGAAACAGCAGAGTTGGGAACGAAAAATGATCAAAAGAAAAAAGATAAAGTCAAAGTAGAAAAATGATTAAGGATCTAAGTTTCCATTCCCCCCTCAGAACAGAGCACAGCAATCTTCTGTGCTCTCCACTCCACACCCAGGAAGCAAGTGGGCTGGAACTGTCACTATACAATCTCACTGGGAACCTGCTGGCTTACGCTGGCAGTGACCACAAGTGTAAGCCTGCCTGTCTCCCAGGAATGGCGGAGGGAGTGGGCATGGGGTGAGAGTTCTTTTTCCAAATTACCAGTAGAGAAGAGGGTGGGTGTCTCTGAAGAGATGATGGTATAATTTGTTTCCTAGCCTTTAATAAGTCCACTTGGCCCCAGGGTAAACAGGGCAAGGAGACCTTGCATAGTTAAAGCTTGAGGGCACTTCTTGAAGCCCTAAGGAAAGGGTTCTGAAATAGACACTGGAGGCTAGAGACTGTTACCTGGGCAGGGGAGGGTGAGATCACCTGAGCAGGAAAAAAAAAGACTAGAGCCAAGCAAAAAATACTAATCATGGGCATCCCTGTAGCCCCAGCTGGCCTGGAACTCACTATGTAGACACCAGGCTGACACATTCACAAAGATCCACTTGCCTCTGTCTCCCAAGTGCTGGGATTAAAGGTGTGCACCGCTATGCCTGGCGAACAGCAAGTGTTCTTAACTGATGAACCCCCTTTCCAGCCTCTCAGTATCTCATTTTTAACATCAGAATTTTACAAGAATGAAAATTTCTCTGCTGCTTAAAATGCTAAACTCACATGCCAAATGCATGCTAAAGTGCATTTATCATGTTTATGAAAAAAAACTTTTAGGTTTATGTATTACCGAAACATCATATTTATGTATTACTTTAAAGTTCCTTTCACGGCCGGGCGTGGTAGCCCACGCCTTTAATCCCAGCACTTGGGAGGCAGAGGCAGGCGGATCTCTGTGAGTTCAAGCCCAGCCTGGTCTACACAGTGAGTTCAGGAGACTAGGGCTACAGGGAGACCCTGCCTCAATAAGACCAAAAAAAAAAAAATAATAATAATTCCTTTCACATGGTGGTCTCTGCTCAGAATATAAGGCAAGACCCTGTCTGAAACAAAGAAACCAACAAAAGTGATCTCAGGAATGAGACTGGCTAGGATCTAAACTTGGCGCTGGCCCTGGCTCTTACAAATTGAGTGATAATGGCCAAATTCAATCCTTTCTTGTGTATGTCTCTTAACCTATAAAGTACAGGTAATAACAATTTAATCACGTAGCAAGTATTAAACTCTCTATGGGGCTTAAGAGATGGCTCTGCGGTTAAGAACACTGGCTGTTCTTGCAGAGGACCTGGGTTCGATTCCCAGCACCCACATGGCAGCTAACAACAGTCCATAACTCCAGTTCCAGGGGAATCCAATGCCCTCTTCTGACCTCTGTGGGCTGTGCATAAAAGAAAGTATTAACTCCGTGAAGTCTGGCTTGGATGATACTCCATGTCTAGGTAAGAGTAAAAGTGTACGTGTCACTGTTTCATAGGATGTCTGAAGTTTTTATTGACACTCAGAGGTAAGCCATTCAGTGGTTAGGATGACAGGTTTTAACAATGCCCTTATCAGTGGGCATAATAAACATTAATTTACCAGTCACCCACCTCCACTCTGCCAAGTTCCTCAAGAGTAGGGAGTAGGTGCTTTAGCTTCTAGTTCAGTGCTTACATAAACATGCCACCATGTATTTTTTATTTATTTATTTTTGGCGGTGGGGTGCCGTGGCCAGCAACCAGACCCCTGCCTATTTTTTATTTAATTAAAAAAATTTCATGTGTATGCGTGCATTGCCTGCGTGTAGGTAAGTGCACCCATATCATGCAATACCTGCGTAGGACAGAAGAGGCTGTTGGATCCCCTGGAACTGTAATTACGGACAGTTGTTAGCTGCCATGTCGGTGCTGGGGTTCAAACCAGGGTCTTCTGCAAGAACAGTCAGTGTTCTTAACCACTGAGCCACCTCTCCAGCCCTGCCACTATTTCTTAATTACAGTGTAATGGTGGGTACCAAGTGAATACTTAATAAATTCTTGCTGACTTAAAAGGTTTCTTCCTTTTCACATTTTTTTTCACGTATGTGTGTGTGTGTGTGTATGCATGTTTGTGTACATGTACTGGTATGTGCAAGTGTGGGGGGGGCGGGGAGGGGTACGTTGGGAATCCTCCCCCTCTTCCACCTTATTCACAGAGGCAGGGCCTGTCAAACCAGAGCCTGTGGATATGGCTAGTCTTGTCAGCCAGCTTGTTCTGGTGATTCCTGCCTTCCAAGGGTAGAATTACAAGGTAGGCCACCAGACCCACCTAGACCTGGGGAATCAGACTCAGCTCCTTAGAACTCCAGTCCTCATTTTAGTGTGGCAAGCACTTTAACCACTGAGAAATCTCCTCAGCTCCTAAAAGTTTTCTTGAAAAACATTTTTACAGCTGGGTGTGATGGCACATGCCTTTAATTCCAGCCCTCAGGAGGCAGACGCAGTCAGAGCTCTGTGCGATCGAAGTCAGTCTGGTCTACATAGTGAGTTACAGGCACTACAGGGAGACCCCGTCTCAAAAAGACCAAAAAAAAAAAAAAAAAATTTTTTTTTTTTTTAACAGTATCATCTCACAAAACGTTAACTTCAAACATCCTCAAATCAATGTTCCCTGTCCATCCGTTGTCCTAAAACATGTCCAGCTGTTAAAATGCCTTTTCAGAAACAGTTGTAGGAAGACTATTCTGCTACTGGGAATTTATTATTATTTTTTTCATGCATGGTCTCACTAGATAGTTACTGGATAGATGTTGGCCTGGACACACTGACGCCCAGCCTGGTTCTGAA